AACTCCCAAAATTTCCCATATTGATGTTAAATAAGATAAGAGAATGGAACCTTGTGGGATACCTCAACACAACAGCTATGGAGCCAAGCAACCATCTCTTCATAACTACTGTTCTGCTGGTGGTAGCAAAACCACCGTGATACAGATACCAATGTTGGTATGGAAACTGCCTTGGGTGCCCTGTATAAAGACCTTTGTTGGGAGACAGAGGCCGGGGGACCCATCCGGTCACAATCATAATAATAATTTATTATTTATACCCCAGCCACTCTGGGCGACTCTCAACAGAATATTAAAAACGCGATAAAACATCAAACATTAAAAACTTCCCTAAACAGGGCTGCCTTCAGATGTCTTCTAAAAGTCAGAAAGTTGTTTATTTCCTTGACATCTGATGGGAGGGCGTTCTACAGGGTGGGCACCACCACCGAGAAGGCCCTCTGCCTGGTTCCCTGTAACCTCACTTCTCACAGTCAATCACCTCCTGCTAGATTTTACCAGCCATGATGGGCAGGGATTGCGATGGCATGTATTTTATAAATTGTAATTTATTAAATTTATATATTATGGAATGAGACACCCCCATTTTCCTCAGAGAAATGTTGGAGGGTATGCAATAGACACCCTTAATTTCTGCGCATGCACCCACTGGAAAAGGTGCAAGTGTAAGAGACTGGACAGAGAAGAATTTATGGGGACCTAACTACTGCATGGGATGCGAGTGGCGCTGTGGGTTAAACCACAGAGCCTAGGACTTGCCAATCAGAAGGTCGGCGGTTCGAATCCCTGCGATGGGGTGAGCTCCCATTGCTCAGTCCCTGCTCCTGCCAACCTAGCAGTTTGAAAGCACGTCAAAGTGCAAGTAGATAAATAGGTACCACTCCAGCGGGAAGGTAAACGGCATTTCCGTGTGCTGCTCTGGTTTCGCCAGAAGCGGCTTGGTCATGCTGGTCACATGACCCGGAAGCTGTCTGCAGACAAATGCCGGCTCCCTCAGCCAATAAAGCGAGATGAGCACCGCAACCCCAGAGTCGGCCACAACTGGACCTAATGGTCAGGGGTCCCTTTACCTTTACCTTTAACTACTACATCCACTAAGTGGTAGCTTTTCCTTGATGGTGTCCTCCAAACACGTATGTAACTTTAATAAAAAAGGCTCTTACGACTCTTAGCGTGTGTGATCAGCCTTTTCTGCTCCCCAGACACCCACCCCTCTGCTAGGTGGGGCGCATGACTGCTCCACGAGGGAGTCCTGAGCATTGCAGGAAGGCTGCGGTCCCCACAGTGGCCGTGTTGGAAAGATGGCATGATCTGCCGGAAGAGAATGAAATAAAATGCCCTGTGAGCAGATCACAGCATCCACAATGGAGGAGGAAGCCAAAGGCCATGCCTATGTATCACTATAAAAAATAACATTAATTGGGATGCTTCGCCATTTCCTGAACAACCCATAATTAGGTTAGATAAGAAACTAGCAGTGTCTGAGAGCTATAAATGTCTAAATTAAGTTATTTTGAAAGTGCCCGGCACTTTGACATTTTGAGAGTTCACAGTAATTGAGGTATTGAGATAAAATTGCTCCTGTTATTTAAAAGGTCATTATCTTCTTCAGTTAGATAGATGGAGACTATTTTCCACTCTAGTGAGCCGTTCTATTTGGGACAATTAGCCAGGCTTGAGTAGATCTGCACAGGCCCTACTCCCACTTATCACAGCTCCGGCCGTGACACAGTGAAAAGGTTTGTAAATACAGGCTCAAAATAGCCCATCTGTATTCAGATCACAAGCAGGCACCAAAAACAACCCTCACGCGACAGAAACTCCACGGCTAGGTGCTGAACGACCCAAACGCAGCCCTTGGAACAAGAGAAAGCCATTTTGCAACCGGTCCCTTCACTCCACCCCCCGCTTGCTAATTATGTCATTATTAAGGGAAGTTTTTCTTTTCCCTTTCATAATCCACACTGGTTTCTTTAACGATAAAAAGACTTAATTTGCCCTTTTCCTTTTTAAAGAAATCAACAACGAACAGCTGCCATACAAGCAGTAGGCGGTCTTCCGTGCATTCCTAAACTTACAGGAAAGCACAGGAAAGGATTTCATAAGGTTTTCAATGAGCAGTTCGGAAGGTTGCAGAATTCAGCCCACTGATTTTATAGCCTCCAACATTTCTCTGATGAAAATAGGGACGTCCTATTCAATAATAATAATTTCACTTTTTATACCCTGCCTGTCTGGCTGGGTTGCCCCAGTGACTCTGGGCAGCTTTCAACAAACTGTATTTTTCGCTCTATAAGATGCACCAGACCACAAGACGCACCTAGTTTTTGGAGGAGGGAAACAAGAAAAAATATATTCTGAATCCCAGAAGCCAGAACAGCAAGAGGGATCGCTGCGCAGTGAAAGCAGCAATCCCTCTTGCTGTTCTGGCTTCTGGGATAGCTGTGCAGCCTGCATTCGCTCCATAAGACGCACACACATTTCCCCTTACTTTTTAGGAGGGAAAAAGTGAGTATTTTAGAGCAAAAAATACGGTTTATAAAAACATAATAAAACATTAAACTTCCCTATACAGGGCTGTCTTCAAATATCTTTGTATAGTTACTTATCTCCTTGGCTCAGGGGTCACTTAACTTCATGCCCTCCATCGTTTCTCTGAAGCAAATAGGAAAAGCAGGGCATTCCAGGATCAAATCAGAAACCGGGACGGCGCCTGTAAATCTGAGACTTAAATCTGGAAAACAGGAACACTTAGAGGGCCTGTTAGATTTGTAGAATGAAAGAAAGCCCCTCTCCCCACAGCAGACACCTAAAAAGTAAGGTAAGCACCCCAGGAAACCCCCGCTGAACTTTTCCCTTCCATTTGATAATTTTCAAATGGAAATCCATTTTTGTGAACTGATGGAACACGGTCAGGGGAATGAGATCTTTATTTATTTTAGATTAACCAACCTGCCCTTCGAACTGTAAGGTCTCAGGCCAGGTTGCAACAGTGGAATATACAATTATAAAACAAACAGACCCGTTAACAAACAGAAACGATTCCCAAAAACGATTCCCAACCGCTTATGTATAAAACAGTTAAAAAAAACAACAACTTCACATATAAAAACAATACATTGGAAAAACAGTTTACAAACAATTAAAAATACTTCCAAGACACCTGAATCTGTGGAAAAGATGGGAGAAAATACATGGAAGCAGCTTTGGGCACAGTCAAAATATCCACCTCAATGAAGCATCACTTGATTCCAGGAACCAAGCACAGAATACATCCGGTGTCAAAAGGTGGTGGTCAAAAGGCCCCGACTGAATACTACAGGGCATCTGGGTTTTGGCCTATGCAAGTTGTCTCTCCATGGTTTGTTGCAAACTCCATAGGCACTGCCTTGTCTGTCTAATGCACTGTAATGCCAGTTCCTCCAGCTCAGTGCTGCGTCTGTTTACAGTGCCAGAGTTTGGTGTTTAGATCCATCTCAAGTTGCCTAGCTGCATGGGTTTCCTTAGTCTCTATGATTTTAAGCTAGGTAAAGGTAAAGGAAACCCTGACCATTAGGTCCAGTCATGACCGACTCTGGGGTTGCAGAGCTCATCTCGCTTTATTGGCCGAGGGAGCCGGCGTATAGCTTCCGGGTCATGTGGCCAGCATGACTAAGCCACTTCTGGCGAACCAGAGCAGCACACGGAAACACCGTTTACCTTCCCGCTGGAGGGGTACCTATTTATCTACTTGCACTTTGACGTGCTTTCGAACTGCTAGGTTGGCAGGAGCAGGGACCGAGCAATGGGAGCTCACCCCGTCGCAGGGATTCGAACCGCTGACCTTCTGATCGGCAAGTCCTAGGCTCTGTGGTTTAACTCACAGCGCCACCCTCGCCCCTTGATTTTAAGCTACAGAAAAAGAAAACAACGAAAGGAGCTGGTGAGGCCTGATACGCTCCCAGGAGGCTCTTGGTCGTGGATCTGCTGAAGGTAGGGGGCTTCCCCATAGGTATTCTGTGGAGAGCATGTGATGTTCCACTGGGCTTTTGTTTCATGAATAAGTATCTCATGCAGGCTTCCTCAACCTTGGCCCCCCAGATGCTTGTGACTATAATTCCCATCATCCCTGACCACTGGTCCTGCTAGCTAGGGATCATGGGAGTTGTAGGCCAAAAACATCTGGAGGGCCGAGGTTGAGGAAGCCTGAGCTAATGTGTTACTGGGCCTGAAGTACAAAAGTAAACCCTTTGGACAGCCACAGTAGACAGAAACCTTTATTTTCTTTAGCACGGACCCCCAAATTGCACCAGAAAAAGAAGCTATTCCAGGAAAATGCAGGATCAGTCACATACCAAATCAAAGTTTGATACTATTTAACATAGGGCATTGGCTACCAACCCTTTTGGGGGGCAAATGATCTGCTTTGGACACGTTTGGAGAAAGGGTCATGGGATGGCTACCAGGGGATAATGGCAGCACTTCTGGAAATGGCCGCCACATCCAAAAGAGCAGAGAAGGAGAGAGGAGGACCACAAAATGGTGTGGGCATGGTTCCTCCATCGATGGGGGAAAGGAACCTCTATCAGTTACCAGCACAGTCGCTCAGAGAAAAGCTCTTTGGACGGCTCCTCTGTTCACAAGGGAAGGGAGAGGGTCCAATCCGCACATGCGAGTGACTTTAAGGGGGCATGTTCAATTTAGGTGAGGCCAAGGCAGTGCAAACAGGAACCCAGCTGTCTTGTGCATTGTGGATTTTTTTTAGAGGGCACTTACCAGTGCCTTTTGTGGGTGCCATAGGAGGAAACCGGTGGGCACACTGGCAATGCCAGTCAGAGGCACTTAAAAAAAAATTTATCATGCCCTAGGCCAGGCACATCCAACAGGTAGATTGTGATCTACCGGTAGATCACTGGACGTTTGTGGTAGATCACTGGCTCCCCCCAAAATGCTCAACAACTTTGACCTGAAGCCCCCCCAAAATGGGGTTTTCCTCCTCTCTAAAACAAGCTCAACAACTTTGACCTGAACCCCCCAAAAGGGGGTAGATCACTGCCAGTTTTTAACTCTGTGAGTAGATCGCAGTCTCTTGGGAGTTGGCCACCTCTGCCCTAGACAAACAGACCTTTGGTAACTGAACGAGGATGCAGTGGGGAGAGAAAATGGAGCTGCGTTGGACCGCAGGTAACACCCCCTCCCCTTCCCCATGGTTACGGTAAGTTTTAGAGGGTTCACAGGCCAGGGTCAAAGGATTTAGTCCACAGCTGCCAAGTTTCCTGGAAATAATAAATGCTGGTAATAAGGACATTTCCTTAACCTCCAGCATTGGTTGGCAGGAGAAAGTCTTTGGCTTCATATCACATTATTTAATAGCAGGCTTAGACTATGGCAGAGATTATACCCAAGACCTACACCTGTCTCTGCCTGGTATTGTGGTTCATCATTCTCTGCACATCTCACGTCCAGGTGAGGCCATCGAGGACCAGACGATGGTTTTTCCTACTCATCTACTGACCAGCAGAAGAGCTTTCCTGTGTCATCGCCGGCCAGGAGCTTGGAAGAATTCCTTGCGTGGGGAGAAGGCAGAAAGGACATATTTAGGAACAAAACAACCGGTAACATCTGGATCTTTCAGAGTCTTATGCAGCCGGTGCTCACTGGAACAGAATCGTTTCAAAACAAAGCCCTGGAGAATATTGCCGCGAATGTCACATATCTTAAGACAGAAAACATTTTTTCAAGTCAGGTCCGTTTTTGATAGAAAGGAAGAAGCACAATGTGGAAGAAGTGCTAATAGTAACAATCCATAGTCTCTAATTACCACTCCCTTCCACACGGAGATATTTTATTATTATTATTAAATCGCCTGGGGAGGGACAACCACACACCACCTTCTCCTGCAAATACGTATTACAGTGGAACCTCAGGTTAAGTACTTAATTCGTTCCGGAGGTCCGTACTTAACCTGAAACTGTTCTTAACCTGAAGCACCACTTTAGCTAATGGGGCCTCCTGCTGCCATCACGCTGCCAGAGCACGATTTCTGTTCTCATCCTGAAGCAAAGTTCTTAACGTGAAGCACTATTTCTGGGTTAGTGGAGTCTGTAACCTGAAGCGTATGTAACCTGAAGCGTATGTAACCTGAGGTACCACTGTATGTGCCTGGGTTTGGAAATGCGGACTTGGTTTTGGTCTGTAATCTGAAATGTATCATACACAAGTTCACAGTATCCTTGGTACTCATCACAGGGTTAATAAGGGGGACAATTCCTCTCATAGGCTGGGGGCCAAATTAGATTATACATTAGCTACATCTCTCTGCCTCTAAGTGCAGGGTTCGTTTTTACAAAATTCTAGTTTGCCCCCAGATCACTGCCCTGGTGAGGGGTTAGGAAGCTGTCAGGCCCTATTTTGTCCCTATTTTCCAGGGACAGTTCTGGATTTACAGACTCTGTCCTGGTTTCTGATTTGATCCCGGAATATCTGTTTTCCTTAAAAAAGTAAAGGGACCCCTGACTATTAGGTCCAGTCGTGGCCAGACTCTGGGGTTGCGGCGCTCATCTCACTTTATTGGCCAAGGGAGTTGTCATACAGCTTCCGGGTCATGTGGCCAGCATGACTAAGCCGCTTCTGGCGAACCAGAGCGGCGCACGGAAACGCCGTTTACCTTCCCGCTGGAGTGGTACCTATTTATCTACTTGCATTTTGATGTGCTTTCAAACTGCTAGGCTGGCAGGAGCTGGGACCAAGAAACGGGAGCTAACCTCGTTGCAGGGATTCGAACCGCCGACCTTCTGATCAGCAAGTCCTAGGCTCTGTGGTTTAACCCACAGCGCCACCTGCATTTCCTTAGGCTGTCCCTATTTTCATCAGAGAAATGTGGGAGGTTATGGAATTAAATGACCCCCAAAACAAGGAGATAAGTAACTATACAACCTTTAGAAAACATCTGAAGGCAGCCTTGTACAGGGAAGTTTTTTTTTTTAAATGTTTGATGTTTCATTATGTTTTTATATATATTAGAAGCTGCCCAGAGTGGCTGGGGCAAAAAAAAAAAGCACTGGGGGTGAGGAATTCAAATTTGCTATTATTTTTGTGATTGGATATTTAGCTTGGTTAGACTGATGAAGAAGCACACTGACTGCTTTTGGAAAACCAAAGAATTTTAATTTTACCTTCTGAAAATGTCAGGTAATGCTAAATAAATAAATAATAATAATTTTAATAATAATGTAATTAAATAATAATATTAAATAAATAAATAAATAAATAATAAACAGCAAGTATTTGACAATAATCTTTCATGATGTCCGTGCAATTTCTGCCCACGTTTTACTTACCAAGCAAAACTGAATTACATTGATTTAACCAAAATATATTTTGAATTCCCAAGTCTTGTTACAGCTTTTTAGCACCCCTCATTTTTGGAATTTGAAAACTGAAAAACCCAACTCTGTCATACTTGGGTCTCTGCTGTGCTTTCATGGTCTGGGTATTCATAAAGATATCATTTTGCACGGTGGGAGGGGGGCGCGGATTAAAGAAAACTTTGCTCCTAAAAATTTTACTACCCACAGCTATGTTGACAGCTGTTGCTTTTGTGGTCTCTGGAGGGAGATTCTTCACACAGCGCTCCTCAGGGCCTGTCAGCCCCCCCCCATTTTGCTGCTAAGGCAAATCATTATTTTATATGTCATACGCCCACCCACCCCATCAGAAAAGTCTGATTCATAATGAAACCACAAGACCAAATTCATTCTTAGTCTGCTCTCTCGTGGCCATATGAGATAACTGCGATTGAAATGATTACCTGGAAACCGCCAGGGCTGTGACAGCTGGAATTTTTTGCTAGTTCTCTCCGACGGAGTCGTGCTGAGATTCATCTCCAGGCAGAGGGTGAACGGTTTCTCCACCTTGTTGCCTGTAGTGTGGTTTTAAAATATATATATATATATTCAGAAAATGCTTGGGGATTTTCATTTGGGGGTGGGTGGGTTGCGGGAAGTGGCAAATGTTATTGTCTATAGTCAGCAACTTGTTAGCTGGAGAACAGATATATTTAATCCTGGCTTGTGCTGTTGCCAGAAGGGCCTGTCCCAATTGAATTTGCAGGCTATGATAGTTACATGTGCTGACGTGTGGCTATATCAATTGTGAGCTAAATTGGATTTGTGTATTATTGCTTTCTAAATTGCATGCCTAGTTCAGCAAAATTGTTCATCAGTGTTTACTGGCTCGGTGCTTAATAAGATGCCCCAGAATACCTTGCTGCCAGGATATAATGCAGCCCGTAATTGCCCAGTTAAAACAAATTACATGAAGTCCTGGTATTATCAACTTATCTAAATCTGCTCATAATACAACCAATAATTAAATGCCAAGAACACTGTGCAAAAATTGTAACTCAATCATTGTTACTCCAGTCTTTGTAATGACCACATTTTGGATTAATAGTCCCCCCCCTCCATAATGTTGCCACAGAGACAGGGGAATATCTCTGGCTGTTGAAAATACCTTGAAAGTAAGTAGACTTTTTAGGAAACACAGACTCTGGCGTCTGCTAGGATTGAGCCTCATTGGTAGTGAGGGATGCTGCGGTGGTAAGAATATCTGTGTGGAATCTCTCTTCCAACAATACATTTATTATCTTGCTATGCTAAGGATTATTCACCTAACAATGAGATTTAGTGCACAGCCCTAGTTCAACGTAAGATAAACATCTTAGTCCACCCACATCCAGAAAACCATGCCAGTTGGGGAAAGTGGGAACTGCCCATGCCATGAAACTTTGAAACTTCTGTGAATGTGCGTTTGCTTAGTCAACATGCAAAAAGGCCTGCCAGAACCATAATCTCTTGTTCACTGCGTTCATCCAACTGCGTCTTGCGACGGAACAGAAAAAGCTCATGACACTTGCGCAATAACACACACCCAAAATCGACTTGCAAAGCATTCTCTGCATATGTGTGCGCAAATATTTCAAAAACATACGAATGTCGAAATCAGACTCTTGGCAGCTGCTGTATTTGTTAGCTAATCTGGTGCCATTTATTTACGTTTTTAAGTGCTGGGATTTTCATTACTTCTAAGCTTTACATTCCGTCCCCGGAGCTCAATTGAATTTGACTTGAGCTCAATAAGGTGGACAAGAACGGAAGAAATCTTTGGATCAGGAGCCCCCTGCTGGCTTCCTGCAGACTTGGCAGGTCTCCAGTTTTTATTCCATCGCAGCAGTCTGCTTTTCTGAAATGTGATTGGTGCATATTGCTAAGGACCTTTCTTTTTCTGTAACCATTTCTTAGTCATACTTTATAAGAAGAGCCTGCTGAATCAGGCCAATTAAGCATCTAGTTCAGGTAAAAAAATAATAATAAAAAGGTAAAGGACCCCTGGATGGTTAAGTCCAGTCAAAGGTAACTGGGTGCAGCGCTCATCTTGCTTTCAGGCCAAGGGAGCCAGCATTTGTCCACAGACAGCTTTCCGGGTCATGTGGCCAGCAGGACTAAACCGCTTCTGGTGCAACGGGACATCGTGACAGAAACCAGAGCGCACAGAAACGCCGTTTACCTTCCCGCCACAGTGGTGCCTATTTATCTACTTGCACTGGTGTGCTTTCAAGCTGCTAGGTTGGCAGGAGCTGGGACAGAGCAACGGGAGCTCACTCTGTCACAGGGATTCGAACTGCTGACCTTCTGATTGGCAAACCCAAGAGGCTCAGTGGTTTAGACCACAGCGCCACCCAGCATCCCTACACCATCTAGTTCACACAGTGGCTGACCAGATGCCACCTCGTCGTTCTTTCTCCCCTTCTGCTGCATCCATCTATTAAATCATAACCACCATAGTATAATCTGATTACTTCTGTAGCTCGAATACTGCTCGCAGCTTCATCGTATTATAATATTTCTTTAAATAGTCTGGATAGAGTCTTCCCATTGGTGTGACAGGACAGGATGGCAATTGTGGCAGGAAGATTCAAGGACCATCAAAGAATGGTAGTATGGTATAGTATAGTATAGTATAGTAAAGTATCAAGGTGTTTTTTTTAATTGGCAGAATATGGTATTCACCTCTACAACCTCTACAAAGTCCCATCCTTATTTCAGACATCGTGATATACTGATATATCACTGTTTAGCTGGTGAAATATTGCAATGTTTGAAAACTAGTTGTCACCCAGCCCTAATGAATAGATCTCTTTCCAAAATGAGCATCAAGTGATACTGCAAGCTGACACTTCTCACTAAGTTTGTAGACATACTTAAGGTACATATGTAAGAGGTTCATTTATATTTTGGGACTGATTCATGTTCTTATGGAGCTGCATTGTTTTATACTTTCTGGATGCCCCGTGAACATATTTATAAAGTAGTTGTGATTTATGTTACAAATCAAGTGTTGTTTCTTTTTGTTTTCCAATGTATTTCTTACCAGTAAAAAAAAAAATCCAAGCAAATTTTTATTCTGAAAGTGGGGCCCAGAGAGAAGAGTCTGAGAACCATTGATCTAAGTCATTGATAAAAAATAAAAAAATACTGAAGAATGCCAGACATAGGAGTAAGATAGGGCTCACTCAAAACCTTCCTCCAGTTTGACAATAAGCACTTTTTCCAGTAGTTTTCCAGCCAGATTGGGAATCTACCTGTCCACATTGCCAACCAATCTTATATCTAGCGAGTTTGCTAACGAACAACCTTGGAGAACTTTGCCAAATGCTTTGATGAAAACAAGATAATCACCCTCACTGCATTTCCAAAGTTCACTATGCTAGTAACCAGAGCAAAGATTAGTCTGGCAGGACCGTTTGCCAAAACCGAAAGCAGGGATATTCTGGTCTCTTCCACCACTGGGAATCTGCATCAAGACAAGTGGGAGATCCACCTTCACCCATTCTGCGGCATTTCTCTAAGCAGAGCCAAAGATTGGCTGTTGCAAAAGGCATGAGCTTTGCTGGAGCTCCGGTAGAAGGCCGGAGAAGAGGAACCGACAACTTCCTTTCTTTCCAGATTGCATCAACATATTCCTAATCTGATAGTCAACATTATGCCTTCTCTTTCGCAGAGAAGATTTGTCCAAGCTATCCTTACCCGTTTTTCCTTGGCATTCAGAAGAGTTGTTTTGTGATCTCATACTAATGTCCTGTGAGTTATTTTCAACTTTCCAGACCTATAAGAGCAGAAGAAAATAGATTTAATAGTAGGATTGTCACCTGAGAAAGGGATGTCTCACCCCCACCCCCGTTCATTCTTGGTCTTCTATCAAAAGCTATTTTAAAAAACACCTTTCCCTTTTATTTTACTGGTTCTAACAGCCTCTGCTTATTTGGATTCAAACTTTTACTGTTGTTGGTGTGAATTTGAATGCTCCAGTTTTTGGTGTTTCAATGATTATTGCAACTGATCTACTCAAAACGGTTAATTCATGGTTTAAAGAAGAGAAAAGAAGGTTGGATTGATATCATCCCTTCAGGAGTTCAAAGCGCTAAATTCTCCTTCCCTTCCTCCCCCAAAAACATGTTGATTGAGGACAGAGAAGTGGACTGGCCCAGTCTCCCGACTCATGGAGGAGCAGAGACCGACCCGGTCCCAGATTACGAGACTACCGCTCAACCACTACACCACACTGGTCTCAGTAAATTTCGTTATGAGCCACCTTGAACTTTTAATGAGGAAATGTAAGGTGGTGATATTTTAAAATAAAGGTCATCGGAACTTAAAAGATAATACACAATAATCTATCAATAATAAACCATTAATAATTATTAAATCAACGTGTTAGGGTAATCGAAAGCATGTTGGAATATTATTTACAATAATGCTTAACATTATGAAACTAAGGACTTTAATAAGTAAGTCAGTTATACCCACAGCGCCACCGCGTCCTGAATTATTAACATATCTTCTTCTTCTTTTTTTCTTTCTTATTTTTTACTATTTTATTATTATTACAAAGAATTATTATTACAAATCTAATTATGTAACTTTAATAGTAAGTCAGTTAAATTGCTTTCTTTGCATAAAATAAAGCAATATATGGGGAGTTTTAGTGGTAGCAAATTGCTTGTTCCAAGCCTCAACTTTGAAATGCTAGGCTTGCCCAAGAGTAGCCAAGATAGTGAAATTAACTACAGTGGAACCTCGAGTTAAGGACTTAATTCATTCCAGAGCCCGTTCTACCTGTGTTCTTACCTGAGGTACCACTTTAGCTAATGGGTCTCCCGCCCCCGCCACCGCGTGATTTCTGTTTCATCCTGAAGCAAAGTTCTTAACCTGAGGTACTATTTCTGGGTTAGCGGAGTCCGTAACCTGAAGTGTCTGTAACCCGAGGTACCACTGTAAATGCATGCATCTAAAATATGGAGAGAGGAAAAACCCAGAGACTTTTCCTCAAGGTGGGACAAGCTGAGGAGCCCCCGAAAGTGGAAACTCCCCTGGAGAGACCTACCTTTACAGTCCCATCTGTGTCTCCCGTGACTATGAGGCTCTGCACGTCCCAGTCAATCACTTCCATGAAGCAGCAGCACAAAATGGTGGCTCCAGGGCTGAAGGTTGCTGTAGCCAGAGGCTGTCCATTGACATTCCATAAGTAGAGGGCCGTCCCAGCACAAGAGGCAATGTCACCCTGAAACACATCGCAATACATCACTGGAGAGCACGGGGCAGGCTTAGGCATGGTCTCTCTCCAACTAAAACAGGCAAGGGTGACTTGTAAATAACAAAGGTAAAAGGTTAAAAGGTAAAGGACCCCTGGATGGTTAAGCCCAGTCAAAGGCGACTATGGGGTTGCGGCGCTCATCTCGCTTTCAGGCCGAGGGAGCCGGCGTTGGTCCACAGACAGTTTTCCGAGTCATGCAGCCAGCAGGACTAAACTGCTTCTGGTGCAACTGGACTCTGTGACAGAAACCAGAGCAACACACGGAAATGCCATTTACCTTCCCACCGCAGTGGTAGCTATTTATCTACTTGCACTGGTGTGCTTTCAAACTGCTAGGTTGGCAGGAGCAGGGACAAGCAACAGGAGTTCACCCTGTCCGGGGATTCGAACCGCCAACCTTCTGATCGGCAAGCCCAAGAGGCTCCGTGGTTTAGACCACAGCGCCACCCGCGTCCCCTCACAATACATCACAAGGCAGGCTTAGGCATAGTCTGTCCACCAACACAGGCAAGGGTGACTGGTAGATAACAAAACGAGCATTACGGCAAGAAGGGATGTGAACCTGCGTCTTTCTGGTTAAAATTCAATAGTCTTGCCAATATACAACGCCAGCCTCACAAAGCCAGAATCCAGAAATTCTGAACTGATAAAGTTAGAAGGAGCCCTGCATGGATCATCTAATTCACCTGCAATGCAGGAATCTCAGCTAAAGCATCCATGGCAGATGGCCATCTAACCTCTGCTTAAAAAGCTCCAAGGAAGGAGAGTCTACCACCTCTGAAGGGAGACTGTTCCACTATCAAACAGTTCTTACTGTCAAGAAGTTCTTCCTTGGTCGTGCTGGTCGATGATCTCTGGCGGGCTAGAGACAAAAGTGAGAGCTGTTTCCTAGTTCTGCTGGATCTCTCAGCGGCTTTTGACACCATCGACCATAACATCCTTCTGGACCGTCTAGAGGGGCTGGGAGCTGGGGGCACTGTTATACAGTGGTTCTGCTCCTTCCTCCTGGGCCATGTCCAGAAAGTTGTGTTGGGGGATGAGTGTTCAGACCCCTGGGCTCTCACTTGTGGGGTGTCTCAGGGTTCTGTCCTCTCCCCCATGCTTTTTCATACCTATATGAAGCCGCTGAGAGAGATCATCAGGTGGTTTGGCCTGGGTGTTCATCAGTATGCAGATGACACCCAGCTCCCGTCCATGGAGGCACAGGTCAATTCTGTGTCCAAGGCAGCTGTCTACCAGGAAGATTTGAAGCACAGAAGCAGTGGTTGAAGCAAACTACACTGCTTCTCCAATCCCAATGGGTTTTCCAGTTCCAGGTGTGGCGTCGAGAAGCTTAGACACACCTCTGCAAATAGGACATTTAGTTTAGCCCTACATTTAGTGCTGCGCCCATGTGAGCGGATTATTGGAGAGGAACATCACGAGACAAGAAGAGGCCATTTCAAGCTAGCTAGCTCAGTTGGTTAGAGTGCGGTGCTGATAAACGCCAAGGTTGCAGGCTGGATTCCCGTACGGGACAGCTACACATCCCTAGATGACCCTCTGCAGTCCCCTTCAAACTTGGCAGTTCTATGATTCTCCTCTCAGTAAGAAACAGGCTGGCACAGGCATGGCCCTTGGCCGGGAAAAGATTCTGTTTTTCTCAAACAAATAAAATGCATGCGGAGAGGGTCACCTGTAACCATAGCTGTCAACTTACAGATTTGAAAATAAGGGACCAGCAGCCTCAAAAATAAGGGATCAGCAGCCAAAATAAGGGATTTTGCTTAGCTTATACAGAAATCCGGCACTCATGCTGCTTTTGCTGTGACTGACTGTGTTTTGCAGGGGGTCGGACTAGATGATCCTAAGGGTCTACAACTCCCACCAAAGAAGAGTGGCAGACAAAACTGATGAACGACGTCGAGATGGCAAAGCTTACAGGCAGAATTAGAAACCAGGAAGAGGACCTCTTTAATAAAGAATGGGAAAGTTTATAATTTAGTTGAAAGCTATTGTCAAGAGTTACATACATTGGTAGGATTGACAGAAAACTTGTAGTAAAAATTTGAACTATGGATGGACAAATGATTTATAAAAATAGAGTTATGAAAGGCATGCAGAGGGGGAAATCACTACATGAAGATGCTGCACTGGTTGGAGGGTATGATAAGCAGCACATCTGGGCTGCCGTCATCCTGGCGCACGGAGTTCCACCGGCCCTTCCCCGACCGAGAGAAGGGGGAGGGAGAGAGACTCTCGCCCATGCCACCCGCAAGCCCGGCATGAGGCGGTTGGGGCGCCATGGCAGCCGCTGAAGCACCGCCCTTCTGTGTCCCTCCCCATCTCCTCCTCTTCCTCCTCCCTCAGGCCGCCTCCTCAGCTGCTGCCGCCACCTCCGGCTTCCCCTGGCAGCGCAGCGGAAGTCTCGCAAGAGAGGCTGCTTGCCCACCCGCTGCCACCCATCTCCTCATGACGCGCCCCTGAGGGAGAAAAGGGAGAGATGGAGACGTGGCAGCTCGTGTGCACTCTCTCTCACGGCGGAGGACCCCGAGCCGCTGCTTCCCTCCCGAGCCGGGCGAGCATGAAACCCGGGAAATTTAAGGGACATCATCAATAAGGGACAGCAACGGGACACGGCGCTGGGATAAGGGAGTTTCCCGCCAAATAAGGGACGGTTGACAGCTATGCCTGTAACCAAACAGAAGCAAAAAAGCCTGGAGGCCGAATCCAGCACAGAGAGAACAGCCTGTAACAATTCCCCTCCTCCTCCTCCTCCTCCTGCCTCAGCTCTGTCTCTGAGGCTGCTTTTAGTGCCCCCTTCTCAGCATTAAGGATACTATTAGAAACCTCTGTAAAAAGAAGAAAAATCAATCTGTCGCGTCTCAAGATGGTTTCTTGCAGGGAAGGGCACCCATTAAGTCGTCATGAAATGTTCATGGACGTGTCAGGAGGATGATGATAAATGAATATCTTACCGTTGAATCATTGATGGCAACAGCCGAGAGGCAGGCCTCATGGCCCGGAAGCTGGGCGATGGGTGTCAGCTGGTTCAGGTCCCAGATGATACAGGATCTGTCGGTGGATCCACTCACGATGATGCTGTAGGAGGTGGAGGCAGCCAAGCAGGTCACAGGCTGCGTGTGCCCGTACAAAGGCTGGGAGACGAAACAAGCAGAGACCGCAACAAAGGGAGACACTAATTTAGTACCAAGCCACAAGGCATTCTTCAGTTTGCAAAGACAAATGGTCTGTTCCACAGGGAGAGAGAACTCTTCAGCAGAGAACGGGCAGCATCCTTTAATGTAGGGAGCAGAGAAGCCGATGCAAAGGGTTTCGGAGATTTGAGAAACAACCCCAGAGCAACTAGATACCTGCCCCAGCAATTTCCCAAGAGGGATCAAGTATGTTGCAAGAGAGAGCTCCTTGTCGCCGTCCTTAACTGGGAGACTTGTCCTAATTCGCAGCAAAATAATTTCCCCTGCCGTGTCAGTGATGAGACATGATATAAGCAGACACATACACCTGCCTGGCACCGCTACAATTCAGAGCGAGGGGTTTCTGTGTTTTTTTGGGGGGGGGCTTTAAAATCATTCGTTCGAGCATTCTCTTAGAACGACAGCGCTACAAACACACCAGTGAACCTGACCTGCCTGTGATGCATGGAATAATGTGGAACAATGCTGTTAAATTAAAACACTGCAGGTGTTCAGTCTGTGGTTTCCATGGTGTTATGTACTGAGCTGAATCCTAGATCAATAGGATCCAGAATGCAGCAGTCTGATTGGTCCGCAGGAGCCACCCAATCCAGCTCCAGGTGGAAGTGAATCAGCGACCTGATTGGGTTCCGGGAACAGCCCGGAATTAACCAATCACGCGGGGCCCATTGTGTAAATAATGTATATATATAGCTAGACGTTTTGGGGAAAGCTTCATTCATTGCTGCTATGAGCTGAATAAAGACCATGAAATTCACACTCGACTCTGAGTATATTTCACATACTTATTCCACACTTTGGGCCAAATGACACCAGGCACAGAATTCTGTGCAGTTTCTCCCTTAAGCCTTAAAAAGCTGCAGCTGTTGAGGCTGTAGCCTGAAGCAGCAGTCCTGAAGGAGGAGATAGAGTTGCCTGCACCAGCGGTCTCAACTGGTGAGCCATGGCTCCCAGGGGGACCTTGAACTATCGTCACAGGAGCCATGGGTGGGGAAATACCAATTTTCCTCTACGTCAATTTCCCCTCTTCTATACTCCTACCTGCCTAGTCACCTGTATTTCCTCGAGGGTGAAGAATTGACGATCTAGTGGGAGGAAAGCTCTGAAAAGTGATTCAAAGTGCACTTTGCATTTTCTTTTCGTTAGTATACTTTTTCAGATTATCTTATTATTATTTGTTTGTGTGTTGACTTCTTCTTCTTCTTCTTCTTCTTCTTCTTCTTCTTATTATTATTATTATGTTTTGACAAAGTAATAATCATAAACAAATAAGAATAAAAATGTGCACCCCAACACCGAGACCATTCCATTGTAACTATCCAACCTCCCAAAATTTCAGCACCTCTTGCAATGATTTGACCCCTTTCCGTTTTAACGGTACAGATTCTACAAACACCCTCCATATCTCCTCAAAATCATTTCTCCTGCATATTCCCCATTGTGCCTTAATGGCACATGTTAATTTATCATTAATAGTTATATCCCACACCTCTTTATATCATTATTTCATTTTATATTCTGCTTGCCCCTTCCACTTCCTAGCTATCATAATCCGTGCAGCTGTCAATAAATCTGTGAGCAAGTCCTTCATAGCCTGTAAACCTTCCACCCCATCATAAATTGATAATAATGCTACCTCTGGACTTTTGGTCAGCCTGATGATGATGATGATGATGATCCTTTAATTTCATTTTCATTTCCCCCCCCCCACCTTACAAAAACAGAATTAGCAGGGCAATGAATGACTCAAAATTTTACATTTTATTTAAAAAAAAGCCTTTTCAAAGCCCAGAGAAGCACAAAGCATTGATGACATATTCCAGCTAGGCAAAAGCTCTTGAGGAAATTGGAAGAGGGTCAGTGGTTTGGCCACATTTAACCCCTGGAACTTGGGTTCCCCACCGAGACCCAAAAGTGTGGACTCTGATAATTTAAGGCTTTCTACCATTTGTGCAACAGTCCCACAAAGCCCTCCATTTTACAGCAACAAAAATGACAGGAGCAAGCAGAAGAAATCCAAAATCCACTCCCCAGAGATCTCCAAAACACTGCACTAGAAACGACTGTAACACTCTCGTACGTTTGATTTGACAGCTATTTTAATACAAGGACTCATTGAATAGCCAGGTCTCTTATAGCACTGTACTGCAGAAAGACTGGAGCGAAGAGTATGTTATTTTAGAGTTATGGGTTTTCAATAATTCTGATTTCAGATGTACAATGCACTTTGTGCAAATGACTGGTTGCGGAACCTTTGCTGTTGAGTGTTTAAACACTTCATCATCCTCATTATTTTGTCAGTACAGATACTTTGTTGGAGCAGGGCAGTATCTCCTGCCTTCCCAAGAGTCAACGGATCTCTCACTCTATAACACCTAGTGCCCTTGAGCATAATCATTTTGCCTCCTGGGAACATGAACTCGGATATCATACCTGCTTCAGGTTTAAGCAAGCGTCTCCATCTCTAGCCACGGACAGCTCCCAGACGCACAACGCAGAGCTGCTTCCAGAGGTGATGAGTGTTGTGGGTGTGGGGCACACAGCACAGAGGCAAACCCCCCAATCAGCTGTGATTTCAAATGTGGTCACCTTCTACATACAAAGAGAGAGAAAATAAACATCCATGCAAGCAGGAACAAAGTAAAAGATCAACAAGCAAACAGCCCAAGAAATTCAGAAAGTAGGCCTGCATCAGCACCGACCCATTTAATATTATTTCCCCCTATTAGAATGATATTATGAATGCAAATAGTAGGACCAGTGCCAGATTTACATATCAGCTAAACAAGCTATAGCTTTGGGCCCCACTCTCTTGACCCCCCCTCCCAAATATAGTAAAGGGACCCCTGACCATTAGGTCCAGTCATGGCCGACTCTGGGGTTGCGGCGCTCATCTCGCTTTATTGGCTGAGGGAGCCGGCGTACAGCTTCCGGGTCATGTGGCCAGCATGACTAAGCCGCTTCTGGTGAACCAGAGCAGCGCACGGAAACGCCGTTTACCTTCCCGCCAGAGCGGTACCCATTTATCTACTTGCACTTTGATGTGCTTTTGAACTGCTAGGTTGGCAGGAGCTGGGACCGAGCAACAGGAGCTCACCGTGTCACGGGTATTTGAACCGCCAACCTTCTGATCGGCAAGCCCTAGGCTCTGTGGTTTAACCCACAGCGCCACCCACGCCCCCCCCCAAATATACTTCTTCTTAATTGTATTTCAGTTCAACAATTACTTTGATAAAATCCATATTTTGTTATGTGCAAATGGCTTTAGATACCTGTTAGGTCCAGAAATTACCATATAGCATTTAGTCAACACAAAAAAACAGAGACAATTTGTTGTTGACAAAGGACAGCTGGACATATAAAGGGCTCCATTACCTTCAGCAGCTTAGGGCCTCATCAAACCTAAATCCAGCCCTGAGTCGGACGTCCATCTACCCTATCAAAACCATTCCTTAACCTTTCCTTAATGTTAAAAACCATGCGTGTAGAGCCGCCTTCTTTTAATTCTGAAACCAGAATATTTTTTGTGTGGAGTATAGATTAACTAATGGGATAAGTTTGCTGTATACAAGTTCAAAATGCTTAATTCTTTTTTTAAGACACCCCCCAACACTTCAGGAAATGACAGTATTGTTTAAAACAAATAGTTGAATTGTTATTGTTATTTTTGAAAATCCGTTTCTGTGAGCTGAGGCCTACCATTTGCCCCATACAAATCCTGCACGTTCTTTTGCTTCAGTGATCTCTACGGGTTTGCTTACTCCCTGTTGGAGCCAGGATCACAAGGCAATCTCTAATGACAGGCGACTAAGGCAGCCTAGACCCTTAAATAATATCATATTTTAATTATATCGAACTTGCAAATGTTCCAAGTTCTTTACACATGGCATTTTATGATCCTTAAAACAACCGCATGACAACCTCTCCCCCATATTGCTGAGGCTGAGAGGCAAATAATAGTCTGCATTATTATTATTATTATTATTATTATTATTATTATTATTATTTTGTGACTGGCAAGAAAATGCTGCTGAGGAATGCTCTGGTTCAGTATTCCAACCAGTCAGTCATGCCCTTTCCCAGATACTCCATTGCATTTTTTCTCTCCCTCTCTACCACTCATGTATGGTGGCTACCAAACATGCCTAGTCCTCATTGCACCTTAGTGTCCCCCCAAAGTTTTGTTTGTTTTGTACTTCTGCAAAACTTGGGCCTCCCCCCAACCTGTTGCCACCTGGCTCATGGGTTTGGGCCCTGCTATTTTGTCTGCCTAAGGAGCAGCACTCAGAGAACGTTGACAATTAGTATACAAATTTTGCTTGTATTTGTTTTTGTGGGCTGCCTTTCCACAAAAAGGCCTTCAAAGTGACTTCACAGAGAGAGAGAGAGAGAACCCAACAGAACTACGATAATTGTAAAACGTCAATTGAAGCTAAAAATACATCAAGCAGCAGAACACTACAACAATAAATACTAAAGAGTAAAGGTAAAGGGACCCCTGACCATTAGGCCCAGTCGTGACTGACTCTGGGGTTGTGGCGCTCATCTCACTTTATTGGCCGAGGGAGCCGGTGTACAGCTTCCGGGTCTTGTGGCCAGCATGATTAAGATGCTTCTGGCAAACCAGAGCAGCACACGGAAACGCTGTTTACCTTCCCGCCAGAGCGGTACCTATTTATCTACTTGTACTTTGACATGCTTTCGAACTGCTAGGTTGGCAGGAGCTGGGACTGAGCAATGGGAGCTCACCCCGTCGCGGGGATTTGAACTGCCGACCTTCTGATCGGCAAGTCCTAGGCTATGTGGTTTAACCCACAGTGCCGCCCGCGTCCCTAAATACTAAAGAGGCAGAATAGCAAAAGATAAATCAGTCAATCTCAGATGGCTGAAGAAATGTCCCTGGTAGGGAAGCCAACTTAACTTTTTGTGGGGTCAAGGGGGATGCCACAAACTGGGTGCCACTACTGGAAAGTCTCTAGTTCTGTGTTGAGAGAACTCCCTCTGATATTGGTAGGCTCTGCTGCCTAATTATGATGGTGGCTACATAACCTAGTGGTTACGATCTACCTGCCAGATTGCCCCAGCATGGCACCAGGTAAGGGGTATGGTGCATATTTAAAAGGGTGGGTGACTCCTGAACCCAACCAGCAAGCAATGGTTTCTGCCAGGGAGCTGGGGACTGTCTGAGGATTCTGAGCTCTAATGCCAACCCAGTTTACACAATATTCATTCCATGGGAATACCAGTAAATTTAATAGCATGGAATACAGATTCTAAAAATGCAATAGCAGCCCTGGTGTGATGTCAAGAAATGAGATCAGAGTGTCAACTGAATACGATATTTCGAAGGCATAGTTTTTGTCGTTCAGTCCTGTTATTGATGTCAGATGATCTGGAAGCAGATTCTACCAACTTATTTGATACACGTTGCCAGCCCATCTCTCACTGCTTGCAGCTATTGGCCACTCAAACTGTTATGTACTGAAGTTCTCACCCTGGGCCGGCAGGGGGATACTGTAGATAGTTATGCAAATGAAGGATCGAAAGTGACGTTCAGTGATTGGATAGTTTGTATGCAAATGAAGGATCGAAAGTGACGTTCAGTGATTGGCTAGTTACAGAAAATGGTTTCTGTTGCATTCTAGTGGAGCTCTATATAAGCAGGCTGACTGAGCTCCTCAGTTCAGTTCTGTTCTGACCTGTGAATAAACAAGAGCTGTTTGGAGAATCGCTGCGTCGTCTGATATGTTCACCCACAACTTAACACAAACAGCCCGAGGACATAATTTTGAACGTTTCTTGCAGCCATACCCAGAAACACATTGCTGATTACCTTGTCTGACCCGGAAGCAGCTAGGCAGCAGGTGAAGTCATCGAAACCCCAGCAAAACACTTTATTCCACTGTGGGGGGATCAAAATTTTGTTTTTCCCCACGGCCAGTGTTCCCTTTTCAGTACATATAATGTGACCCACAGGTCCTTGAGGTGCCTCTGTATAGGAAAGGGGAAGAAGAAAAGGAAGTAACTCTTTTGACGCATCTGCCTTTAGAAGGAGAGAGGGAAATCCAACTGGCTCATTCCCAAAGGTCAAGGAGTGAATGGAAGAAAAGGGAAGAGGAGAACTATTGGTTCTTCAAAGCCAGAATGAAGTGGTGAACTATAAATGCTCTTCTCTACATTTGCCTGACTTGCTGATGATAATAGGAGCTGTTCCCTAGCAGCTCCCTGCATCAGTTCGTTCTCTGGCTGATGGATGGAGCCAGTCAGGTCTTCCCTTTGCCATTATGTAATTCCTGGAAGACAGACAGTGGAGCCTCTCAGTCGCTTTTGGTCCCTTGGTCACTGGGAAGGTCCAGAGTTTTTAACTTTTAGATCTGCTCGTAGGGAACCTGATCCCATCGAACAAATGTGCATTGAATCTCAGCAATGGCCATCATCAGGTGCTCTTCCACCCCACCCCACCTCGCTCTAAAGTCCCCAAACAATCTGTACCTTTGACAGCAACTGATGAAGGCTTCAGATTACGCAGGTTGTTGAGTGTTGGAGGCAACTGACTAGCTGTTTGAGAGAAGAGTATGCTTTCTCTGCTCATTGAATGCTTCCCCAAGGTATTCCTGGCTGGGTGTGGTTTGCTGAAAAGCTGTGAAGAAGAAAAAGTAGCAAAAAATTACTTCTGCATTTTATATTATATTATATTATATTATATTATATTATATTATATTAAACATACCCCGCCTGTCTGGCTGGGTTTCCCCAGCCTCTCTGGGGGGCTCCCAACAGAATATTTAAAACACGATAAAACATCAAACATTACAAACTTCCCTAAGACGTCTTCTAAAAGTCAGGTAGTTTATTTCCTTGACATCTGATGGGAGGGCATTCCATAGGGTGGGCACCACTACCAAGAAGGCCCTCTGCCTGGTTCCCTGTAACCTCACTTCTCGCAGTGAGGGAACCACCAGAAGGCCCTCAGAGCTGGACCTCAGTGCCCGGGCTGAACGGTGGGGGTGAAGATGCTCCTTCAGGGCTGAGGCCGTTTAGGGCTTTAAAGGTCAGCACCAATACTTTGAATTGTGCTCGGAAACGTACTGGGAGCCAATGCAGGTCTTTCAGGACCAGTGTTATATGGTCTCGGTGGCCGCTCCCAGTCCCAGTCTAGCTGCCACATTCTGGATTAGTTGTAGTTTCTGGGTCACCTTCAAAGGTAGCCCCATATACAGCTCGTTGCAGTAGTCCAAGCAGGACATAACCAGAGTATGCACCACTCTTGTGAGCAAGTCTGCGGGCAGGTAGGATCTCAGCCTGCAGACCAGATGGAGCTGGTAGACAGCCGCCCTGGACATAGAATTGACCTGTGCCTCCATGAACAGCTGTGAGTCCAGAATGACTCCCAGGCTGCACACTTGGTCCTTCAGGGGCACAGTTACCCCATTCAGGACCAGGAAGTCCTCCACACCTGCCTGTCCCCTGTCCCCCCCAAACAGTATTTCTGTCTTGTCAGGATTCAACCTCAATCTGTTAGCCACCATCCATCCTCCAACTGCCTCCAGACACATTGCACAAATGTACCTATTTAAGTCAGCATATGCACACTCTATACAAATCATTGTCCTCGTTGGGTCTTATTTCCAGGTGTGTGATGCATTTTCTTCCTTTTGGCAATGTATAAGTAGCCATTTGGGGGGGGGGGCTGTTCCCAAGTCTCAGGGCTGCTGAGAAAACAATGACGCTCTTCAACAGGATTTCCCCCACTGTGGAAGGCGATATACAAAGCAAAGCCCTTCCGGATGACAAGGATGTGCAACCATGCATCAGTACGCTCCAGCTTTCATGGGCACTTTCTTCCGGTATTTTTGATTCTGTTGCAATTTTGCACAAGCCTTCCTTCTATTGCTTTCTCCTATGCTCGCTTAAAAAGCAAAGACATCACCTTACCAACAAAGGTCTGTATAGTTAAAGCCATGGTTTTCCCAGTAGTGATGTATGGAAGTGAGAGCTGGACCATAAAGAAGGCTGATCGCCGAATAATGGATGCTTTTGAATTATGGTGCTGGAGGAGACTCCTGAGAGTCCCATGGACTGCAAGAAGATCAAACCTCTCCATTCTTAAGGTAATCAGCCCTGAGTGCTCACTGGAAGGACAGATCATGAAGCTGAGGCTCCAATACCTTGGCCACCTCATGAGAAGAGAAGACTCCCTGGAAAAGACCCTGATGTTGGGAAAGATGGAGGGCACAAGGAGAAGGGGATGACAGAGGACCAAATGGTTGGACAGTGTTCTTGAAGCTACCAGCATGAGTTTGACCAAACTGCGGGAGGCAGTGGAAGACAGGAGTGCCTGGCGTGCTCTGGTCCATGGGGTCACAAAGAGTTGGACATGACTAAACGACTAAACAACAACAAATGCTCACAGTGCACAACAAATCGTATTAATGTTCTATCAGGTGCTATTAACTTGCGAAAGGCGGGATAAACGTGCCACAGGGAAGGAAGGAAAACATCCCGACTCTCGCCACTCAGAACAGGATTGCTTTTCAGAGCTGAGTGCTTAGTCATAAAATGGGCCAGACCCCAAGACTGGATGCGCGAAGCAAACACGTTTTCAAAACGATCAACAGAGGGCAGCTGAAGTCAAGGCAGCCCTATAACGGAAAGGCTCAGTTTGACACATTCCTCCTTTCCTGTTTCTAATCTGTGTAGCACCCTATACCCACACGCCTCAGGGCGGTTCACAGCATAAAATCATAATATAAAAACACAAAATACATCATAAAAACAAGAACAATAATTCCCTGCTCCCCAACACGTTTTTAAAGGGCACCGGATGTCAATCAGCCAAAGACTTAGTTAAAAAGGGACTGTTATTATGCTTCTCATCCTAAGAGTGTTTCCTTGGAAGCAGATTTTGCTGGTTTTCCATGGTGCGCAGTGGGATTTATTTCTGAATTAAGTGCGCTTTAGGATCTCATACCCTCTGCTGAATTGAATACCCTCTTGGTGCTCATTAATGTGCAGTGGCAGCAACCATGCCCATCGTTTCAACACGGATGCTTCCATCCCTTTTCATGATACTAATTTGCACCATGCCTTTAAATGGGAGGTACAGTCCCTATCACAAAACCCCAGGACGGCCAGTCTGTGCCTGCAGCAGAAGCTCTGCAGAGAACGCTATCAGCAACTCCTTGCAGAGTCATCTCACTTTGAAAAAGGCTGGGGAAAAGGAGGGGGAAGGAAATGGGAGGGCTTTGTATTCCGTTGATAGCCTTTGCCGAGTGCTGTGATTTGTTTTCCATACAGATAAACCATTTAGATCAGCTTCAAATAGGACACAGGAATGATGCTTCCAAGTTATCGGGAACCACGAGAGATTCTAAGTGGGACAAGGGAGACCAGATGCAGGCTGCTCAGAAATCAGAGCTCAGGGAGCTGCAAATGCTTGCGTCTGTGTGCATTTCTGTTCCCCGTGTTGCTTTGCGCCAGCTGGTTGGGAATAAACGGATTGCAGTGGGGCTGCCCCCAAGGAGGGAAATATGTCAACTCTGATTTGAGAAACTGGGGACCAGCATCTCAGTACAGGCTCCTTAAGAATAGCAGTGGAAGGTCGAGAGTCAACAACAGTCAACAAGAGATGCACACACACACACACACACACACACAACCGCAAACACAACTTCATTCTGTGATGCAAGGCACCTCGCATGGCTAATTGTGCTGTCTCTTTCTCTTAAAAAGTGTTATGTACAGAGTTGAATAGGATCCAAAATGCAGCAGTCTGATTGGAACTAGAACAATAGGATTCAGAATGCAGCAGTCTGATTGGTCCTAGAACAATGCAGCAGTATGATTGGTCTGCAGGAGCCACCCAATCCAGCTCCAGGTGGAAGTGAATCCACAACCTGATTGGCCTACAGGAGAATTCCGGAATTAGCCAATCACTTGCAGCCCATTGTGTAAATAATGTATATAAAGCAGATACTTTGGGCGGAAGAAGAAGAAGAAGAAGAGTTTGGATTTGATATCCCGCCTTTCACTCCCCTTCAGGAGTCTCAAAGCGGCTAACAATCTCCTTTCCCTTCCTCCCCCACAACAAACACTCTGTGAGGTGAGTGGGGCTGAGAGACTTCAAAGAAATGTGACTGGCCCAAGGTCACCCAGCAGCTGCATGTGGAGGAGCGGAGACGCGAACCCGGTTACCCAGATTACGTGACTACCACTCTTAACCACTACACCACACTGGCTCTCAACATTTATTCCTCCTCACCACTATGAGCTGAGTAAAGAACATGAAATCCACTCTCTATATTTCAAAAAGCCTCAATCATACAGCATCCATGCAAAAGCTCTCAGCCAAGGTAGATATTCAATTCACTGTCTACCTGCTGAAGATGAAAGAAACAAATCAGGACTTTACTGGTAGAGTGCCCTACCACTTAGAGCCCAGATGCATCCCCAAGTTAGATCATCAGTGGCTGCTGATATCCTGCAAAATCCTATAATTCTGCGTCCCACTCAGGATTCAAATTGGAGAAGGCTTTCGACTCTTGGTGACTCACTTCCCCCCAAATCTGCAATGTACCTGCTTCGGGATCTGTCCAAAGTTGCTGACAAACCCCAAGACGGTGTTTTTGATGAGTGGGTCGCTGATGCTGTCCGGGTGCACCTGATCCCCATAGAAATAGGGGTGGAAGACGTTCACAGCCTTCGCTGCAGCTGGGCCACGTTGCTTGTAGCCAAAGATCAGGTCTATCCAGTGGTGGATATGGTTGCTGACGTAATCGCTCTCCAGTGCCTGAAACCCAATATTCGCTGAGTTACCTTGTTACTGAAAACACCATCCTATATTTTGCCTTTGTGGGAAGGGTCCTTGTTACTGGAATGCCCACATAGTAGTGTGGACTCTACCACCAATCCCTGAGTTAACCCTCAAGATGTAGAAATTGCTTGGTCTGTTTTAACCTGAAAGTGTTCTTAACCTGAAGCACCACTTTAGCTAATGGGGCCTCCTGCTGCTGCCGCGCCACCAGAGCACAATTTCTGTTCTCATTCTGAAGCAAAGTTCTTAACCTGAAGCACTATTTCTGGGTTAGCGGAGTCTGTAACCTGAAGCGTATGTAACCTGAAGTGTATATAACCCGAAGTACCACTGTAGCTATAAACGCATCAAAGTTTGACTGAAATCTCTTGAGAATAAATGAAGCAGATATAAAACTGACCACCAAAGTTAGGGCTGAGGGAGTGCTGAGTGACTGTGAACAGTAGCCAGCAGACAAAGAAAAAAGGTAGTGTTAATATATACATTTTCATGGATCCTCCCCATCACTATTCCTGGGCCAGAAAGCAAATTTAGCAGGCACCCAATTCAACGTAAATATGTGGTGCTATTTTTGATCGGCCATCAGCCCCCAAAACATCCAAACTGCATGCCTTGTCATACTGACCTGTCTGTGCAAGCTGATAAACTTATGAGGGCTTCCTTCTGCCCAGGGTGGCAACAGCACGTCACCCAGCGAGGTTCCATCTTGCAGGCTTCCTGCAAGCGACCAAAAAAACATTATTTGATTCCTGAATATCGTTTAAACTTATCTGAAGGCTGAAGGCTGAGAGAGCTCATTTCCACGACATGTTGGAGAAGGCAGGTTTAGAGTTTTGACATTAGGCTGGGGAGAACCAGGTTTACCATATTTTTCGCTCTATAGGATGCACCCGACCATAGGACGCACCTTGTTTTAGAGGGGGAGAACAAGAAAAAAGAAATTCTCCCCCTCTCTGCTCAGCGCCCTTTCAGCAAAGCGGCAGGAGAAACGGAGCCCCTTCCATTTCTCCTCCCGCTTGGCTGAAGGGGCGCTGCGCAGCTCTCCCTCTCTGCTGAAGCCAGGAGAGTCTTGCTTCACATCCCAAATAATCAAAATGCTACCATTTATTAATTTCCAGGAGTTAGAGGGGTCCCCCCAAAAGAAAATCTGTAACATTATTATTTGCATAAGAAAGAGGAGGAAATCAGTAAGATAGAAATGATATACATAAATAATAATAGCAAAAAGATACAATTTTGAATTGTCAGTGCCACACAATTCATACATCTGGGGAACATAAATAGTTTAGAAATAATTGAGAATGCATTATATAAACAAGAAACAGACAGCGTAACAGCAGGAATGCAACAAGTGTGTAAATCAAATAATACACTGTTCAGTCTCACTGAAGAAACCATTCCAAAATGATAAATGATCTCAAAGAGAGATTCTTTGCTGCTCATCCAAAGGGTGGAACAGCACATTTCATAGATCCTTATTCATGAACAGAAATTGATCTAGTTCATCTTGAGCAAGACACTACATTAACCATATTGCGTTGTGTGCCTCCTTCCTTATTTTGTTTTAGTAATGAGAACTGTGCCAGTGATGCAATCATCTTGGAGGTGGGAGCAGGGCGGAGGGGGGGGGAATATTTCCGTTTATGCTGGGATTATATGCCAAGGAATATTACCTCCTAAGACTTCTGACTGCATGGAGTCTGGGCTCCTCCCTGCAGCTTTGGCACCTCCGATTAAAAAATGCACATCTGAGCACAGATTTGTGGTTGCCTAGATGTCAAAAGGTGCAGGAAAATATGCATTCCAATGGGCATCCTGGCATGGCCATAACATTTTTGGAGCACATTGTTCTCATTGCACATTGGGGTGCAAACAACTGCAGTGTGGAGCTCCTTGGGCAAGTCAGGACCCAGAATGCGCAAGGTTCAAAAATGCAGAGGGAGCCTTCATGAATGCAAGCCCCCTGCTGGAGACGTTCATCCAGTGGCTTAGCATTGGTTGCCAGTGCCCGGGGCAGGTAGGTGTGCACACACACCCAGGGGTATGCTGGCAGGTTGCCCACCTCCCCACTGGAGCAAAGTGCCACCTGCCCACCCATACAGGGGAGAGCCCAGCCAGCCAAAGTGCCCCGTAGTAGGCAGATCCCCCCCCCCAGTGTGGTGACACCTGTGGAGGGGAACGCCATCCCAGGCTGTGCTGGGGGCGCCTGATTTGCTCCTCCTAAAAATTGTGCTTCTGGGGACAAACACCCCCCCCTGCACACCCACCCAAATTCTATGCCCCTGCATCCATCTTTTAGTGTGTGGTGGGCAGTGAGACCAGCCATGATCACATGACAGAGGGGGCAAGGCTAGCTAGTTTTTTTAAAACTCTAATTTGTTTACATGGCACTATAGGGGTAGGGACGCGGGTGGCACTGTGGGCTAAACCACAGAGCCTAGGACTTGCCGATCAGAAGGTCGGCGGTTCGAATCCCCGCGGCGGGGTGAGCTCCCATTGCTCAGTCCCTGCTCCTGCCAACCTAGCAGTTTGAAAGCACGTCAAAGTGCAAGTAGATAAATAGGTAAACGGTGTTTCTGTGCGCTGCTCTGGTTCACCAGAAGCGGCTTAGTCATGCTGGCCACATTACCTGGAAGCTACACGCCGGCTGCCTCGGCCAATAAAGCGAGATGAGCGCCGCAACGCCAGAGTCGGTCACAACTGGACCTAATGGTCAGGGGTCCCTTTACCTTTATACCATGGGTAGGCAAACTAAGGCCCAGGGTCTGGATCTGGCTCTATCACCTTCTAAATCCGGCCCGCAAATGGTCCATGTTTTTACATGTGCCCTTTTATTTAAAATGCATCTCTGGGTTATTTGTGGGGCATAGGAATTCATTCACTCCCCCCCCAAAAAAATAAAGTCCGGCCTCCCACAAGGTCTGAGGGACAGTGGACCGGCCCCCTGCTGAAAAAGTTTGCTGGCCCCTGCACTGTCCTATCACCACGTTCCTTCTGCAATTAATGACACACTTGTGAGGAAGAAATCCTGCAACTATATGTGGGATGTGAATGGGGGAAAATGTTGCCATGAGAGTAAGTGGTCTGGGTTGCAAGCAGCCATGAAAATACAGCGGGAATATGAAAGGCCTTTCCCAGCCCCAACAGCACATTTCAATTTTCTCAAAGTTACTTTTGCTCCCAAATTATTTGCAGGCGAAAATTCAGCAGCGCATAAATACTTACCGAGTGCAAACTGGTTGCAGTTTGTTAAGAATTCGGGGAGGTAAAAAAACTCAGGGATGAGCTCCCTCACGTCCGTCATGTTATCTCTTGAGGCCGAGTCCCAGGTGCTCTTCATGCTATGGAACATTCTCTCGGCAACATCAAAACCGCCTCCCTTGGTTGGTGGGATGAAAGAGAGAGGGACAGGGAAAGTTGCAAGGTTGAGTTAGTTTCCTGCCCTCTTTGAAAATGTGTGTTGCCTACAGGGGTTGATGATCACTGGCTGAGAAACTCTCATTTCTTTGGACAGAGAAAGATGGTGGCACCACCACAAACCTGATGACTGGCACACTACTCAAATTACAGACCCTCCAAGTGTCCCTATTGCCCAGGGACAACCCCAGATTTACAGAAGATGCCCCGGTTTCTGGTTTGATCCTGGAATGTCCCGCTTTTAATCCCTACTTTCATCAAAGGAATGTCGGAGGGTATGGAACAGGATGTCCTTATTTACATGGGATAAATGTTGGAGGGTATGAAATCATAGGGGGGACCAGGGCCTTTTCAGTGATGGCTCCGACCTGGTGGAATACTCTGTCCCATGAGACTAGGGCCCTTCAGGATTTAACCCCCTCCCGTCGGGCCTGTAAGACAGAGCTATTCCGCCTGGCCTTTAATTTGAATTCAGCCTGATCTTCTATTTCCCTTCTCTTCCCTCCCCCTCCCCTTTTATGAAGATCACCCGCTCTGAGACCCCACAGCTAATTCTCCCCTGGCCTCCTCGCTGGCCCAAGTAGGACTAATTCAGCCAGCTAGCCCTGGTGATCATCTAATGCTTATTAGATGGATTTCCCCTAAAATGATTTCTGAACTTTGAATTTTATTGTTATTCATGTTTTTATACTGCATTTTATGCTGCTTTTACAATTAAGCGTTTTAAATTTGTTGTTAGCCGCCCTGAGCTCGGTTTTTGAACTGGGAAGGGCGGGGTATAAATAAAAAAATATTTATTAATTATTATTATTAGCGAAATGGAAAAGTCCTCCTGACTTTGCACCAGTTGTAACTTTTGAAGTCATTTTAAAACAGTGGGAAGGGAGACGTCACAAAAGAGGGGAGTAAAGGTAAAGGTAAAGGGACCCCTGACCATTAGGTCCAGTCGTGGCCGACTCTGGGGTTGCGGCGCTCATCTTGCTTTATTGGCCGAGGGAGCCGGCGTACAGCTTCCGGGTCATGTGGCCAGCATGACTAAGCCGTTTCTGGCGAACCAGAGCAGCGCACGGAAATGCCATTTACCTTCCCGCTGGAGCAGTACCTATTTATCTACTTGCACTTGGACGTGCTTTCGAACTGCTAGGTTGGCAAGAGCAGGGACAGAGCAACGGGAGCTCACCCCATCACGGGGATTCGAACCGCCAACCTTCTGATCGGCAAGCCCTAGGCTCTGTGGTTTAACCCACAGCGCCACCCCTGTAATTCAAGCACTGGGCTCGGCTGGGCTGCCCAGGTCAGATTTTGTACTTAATTGCAGGGAGTAATGTCTGCTGTGTGCCCTGTCAGTGCGAAACACAAGAAGCCGTACTTTCAAGGTCATTGCGAAGTTAATCATTAACAGACATCAACCCTCAGAGTCAAATTTCAGTGGAAAACTGAAGCATATTAGGAGACAGGCAGACCATATTTAGAAACCAGGAGCTAACAAGTTTCTCCTTGAAGTCTCTTTTCGAAGCGTATATCTCATCTGCATATACACGGCTGTGCCTAGACTGACACTTCTTCATCTGCTTTTACAGCTTTTATGAAAGGTGATGGTAATCTCCAGAGAAACAATGTGATTTGTAATAAAAAGGTTACCTGTATTAAATAAAAATAATATCTACATAGGAAATGTTGTTAGTGCCGCAAATCTGGTTAAAGATATTACCATCTAGAAAAATGTAATTTTTTTGCAGCTGTCTAATGCATTTTGGAGGAAGTAATATCTTTTTAAACATAAGCCTGTATTATTTATAAAGAAAGCAATAACTGATTTGCAGTATTTCTTATATTAATAAATGTATTTGCATATATTTATATCAGAATTAGTTGGCTCTCCTCCTCTCGGAAGGCAGAAAGGAAGAACGGGAGAAAGCCCCAAACAACTTTATGAGCTGTTAGCAAAAACAAGACCAAAAAAACCCTCTCCTGCCTCTTCTCTCTTCAATTCAAGACATGTGAATTCAGGGCTCTTCTAGCCTACAGCCATTACTTATTTTAGGAGGAATGGCTGCAAAACATTCAGACTCTGGGCTAAAGTGGCTGGCAGGCACATTTGCATTCCCAAACTTGGATAAGCCGCCCTCTGCAACCCTCTGCAACTCAGGAACCTTTTGCCCAACATGGGGCTCAAACCCACGACATAGCTGTCAACCGTCCCTTATCCCAGCTCTGTGTCCCGCTGCTGTCCCTTATTGATGATGTCCCTTAAATTTCCCGGGTTTCAAAGGAAGCAGCTCCTCTCCCTCCCCCCCTGCCAGCCAGGGAGGAGGGAGGCTCCAACTGTGTTGCTTGGCTGCGTTGCTCACCCAATAAGGAGTCTAAGAACGACTGGGGGGTGGAGCTTGCATGCCTTGTGCCGATCAAATCGGCCGCATTGCCTGGGGACTCGCCTTTGCTCAGCGCTTCCCAGCGGAGAGGTGACGGTGGTTTTCCTTGCTGCATCCCCTTTGCCGGGTTGCTGCGCTGTCGGAACCACGGCTTGAGGCTTCGTTTGGCTGCTGGCTGGGCTTTCTGCCTTTGGCTCGGAGGGGCTCAGAAGTTGAAACTACCTGTGCTTGGAAAATCCCTTATTTTGGCTGCTGATCCCTTATTTTCGAGGCTGCTGGTCCCTTATTTTCAAATCTGTAAGTTGACAGCTAGGCGACGTACGAGTTTTATTTCTCTGCTAACTATCATAGCTGTTATCCCAGTTCATCTGAGCCTGGCGTGGATTCGAACCCAGGGGCTTTGAAAGGCCACCCTGAACCCTTCTAACCCCTGAACGTCGAAATCAGAGCTCTCTGGAAAGAAATAAAACCCTGCAATGCCCCTGAGGAAAGCTGCTTTACTCCATTAGCCTGCGGCGGGGGCGGGGGGATGTTGGGCAGGGGGTAAAATCAGGTGGTGAAGGAAGAAGGAGCAGGGCCCTCTTAAAGGTAAAGGTAAAGGTAAAGGGACCCCTGACCATTAGGTCCAGTCATGAAAGACTCTGGGGTTGCGGTGCTCATCTCACTTTATTGGCCGAGGGAGCTGGTGTACAGCTTCCCGGTCATGTGGCCAGCATGACTAATCCGCTTCTGGCGAACCAGAGCAGCGCACGGAAACGCCGTTTACCTTCCCGCCGGAGCGGTACCTATTTATCTACTTGCACTTTGATGTGCTTTCGAACTGCTAGGTTGGCAGGAGCAGGCATATTAGAATATTAAAACATCAACCATTAAAACTTCCCAAATCGATCTTTACAGCTACAGCAACCTTCCAACAGTTTGAACTGAGCCTCAACAGAATATTCCTTCGTTGTCTCCTGAAGACAGACAGGTGTCAACAACAGTAACCTGCCCCAAGATTTTCCAGTTTGCTACACCCGTGGGACTCTTGGCAAGCCTCCACAAAGACGCAATTGCTGCCAGAGTTGGTCAAGGGACAGTCAATGTTGGGGGTTGGAATGGCTTAAGTGCAGGATTTGATCATCGTATTCACAATTTTGGCTGCAACCAGCCCTGCATGGAAGTCGATCGCCTACCTGCAATGAGCAGAAGATCTGGTTGAATGGCTCCATGCGAACCAGGTAGGAGGCCACAATGATTGCCGAAGAGTAGTGGGTGCAGTAATGGCACTGGGCTGAGAGGTTGCCTGCAAATGTGGATCCATTAGCTGTTTTGCAAACCACAATTACCACATGCGACTTTTGAAGGCCTGCCATACCTTGACTGGCCAGATCTCAAATTGCACCAGCTCTCTAGGACATAAAGGCAGTCATAAGCCTGAGCATAGGACAGCCCAAGGTCTTCCCTTTAAAAATATATACAGTGGTACCTCAAGTTAAGAACTTAATTCGTTCTGGAGGTCCGTTCTTAACCTGAAACTGTTCTTAACTTGAGGTACCACTTTAGCTAATGGGGCCTCCCGCCACCGCATGATTTCTGTTCTCATCCTGAAGCAAAGTTCTTAACCCGAGGCACTATTTCTGGGTTAGCAGAGTCTGTAACCTGAAGCGTCTGTATCCCGAGGTACCACTGTATTTGCCTTTCATAAGCTTGGGAATATCTGCTAGCTAGTGAAAGATGGGCTAAAAATTTCAGAAGTCAATAAGTTTAAAGAAATGCCCGGAAGAACCGTGATCCAAAGTGTACCCCACATTTAGGAATGGCAAAGGGGTTGCAGGGCCATTTACATTAGGAACTGGCTGGATGAGGCAGAGTGGTGTGAGCCTCCTGCCGAAGGGCCCGCCAGGGAGGGCACAGAAGGAGATGACCCCCCCCCCCGCAGGTTGCCCAGAGTTGTCGACCTTTTTTAGGCAACGCGCTCTAGGCCGGCCGTTGATGTTATGTATTGAAGCATTGTGTATATAGTTTTCACTCAGGTCCACATAAGTTAATTTAGGTGGGGAAAACCCTGGGCTGTTGTTGCAATGTTGACAGCTGGCTGCCTATAAAAGCAGGCCAGCTGAGCTGTTTGCTGTTCAGTTCAGTTCCAGCTTACTTATAAAGAACTACTTGGAGAAATCTCTGTGTCGTCTGCTGTGTCTACCCACTACTTAATAGTTGAGGTGCGCAGGCAGGGCAGAGCAGGGCACAGAGGCCCAACGCCAACCCCAGGCACGCAGGAGGACAGAGCCAGACGCCAGCCACCTCAATGCCTCGCTGGCTTGCTCCCCCCTGAACTTGCGGCGCAGAGCTGCCCGCAGCAGAAGAACCCACCACGACGCTCCGGCAGGTGGGCTCTTCCCCGGGCTCAAACTCTCGGACCCCGGACTCTCAGCCTGGTGTCTCTGAGAGCCCGGTGCCCGGGTGCCCTGCACCTCTAACACCTATGGTTAAGACGGCCCTGGTGGTGGAACACTGAAGAGCAGTCTGCTGAAGAGACGAGCCAGGAGGTGCTAGATTGAGTGATCAAGGGAGGGAGGTCAGGAGAAGGAGGGCCTTCTAGGACAAGCTTAGAGGCTGAGAGCCACAGTATAAGTGCAGACTCAGATAGAGAGGAGTTAGAGTTGGCCCTTTTCACAGCAGCAGGTTGCTGAGGAATGAGTCAGACAGGCCCAGAGGAGGAGCCCAGCCCTTCGACGCAGCCTTTGTCTACTTGGTAGGGATCCAGAGAAAAGGCTAGAGAGGGAAGAGTGGAGCTAGTGGTCAGTTTCAGCGACATCTTAGCTGGATTATGGTGAACCAGAGGACTCTGGTGTGTTGTTATTTTCTGTTAATAAAGAGCTAATTGCCTCCTGTGTGTGTGCCTGCCCTGTGGGTGACCTGGCTCCTTGACAGCTCCTTGACAACTTATTGCCTAGTTCAGGGGTCAACAACCTTTTTCAGCCGTGGGGTGGGTCAGACTATATTTTGGGGAAAATAATAATGAACGAATTCCTATGCCCCACAAATAACCCAGAGATGCATTTTAAATAAAAGCAAACATTCTACTCATGTAAAAACACCAGGCAAGCCCCACAAATAACCCAGGAGATGCATTTTAAATAAAAGGGCACATTCTACTCATGTAAAAACATGCTGATTCCCAGACCATCCGCGGGCCAGATTTAGAAGGCGATTGGGCCGCATCCGGCCCATGGGCCTTAGTTTGCCTACCCCTGGCCTAGTTATTGCTGGTGCAGTACCACATCATAACCACATTATACAGTATAAAGTTGGGAAGAAACAGGAGTTAATTTATAATTATAATTTATACTCCTGGTTCTTCCCAACATATACAGAAAGCGGGGGTAGAAATGGGACGAATACCTTCGCTCTTCTCTACTTCTTCGTAACGCTGGAGAAATTTCCTTTTCCTCTCTCTGGTTTGTGCCCCCATGGGCTTGGCGAAGTCGCGAAAGGCGCTGGGATTGGTAAGGTCCAGAGTCTGGCACGTAACACAAATAGATCTTTCTCACGCAGCCAAAACACAGTGAGGGGGCAATGAAAATCCCCGACAAATCATCCCAACAGCAAGACACCAAAAATCCCCCCCACTCCACCTACAAAAGAATGGTAGGCTCGGCAGAGTGAAGACTCACCTTGATCTCAGTTTCAACCACACAGTGGGAAACTGTTTTATAACAAGGGTGTCTCTGGATCTTAGTTTGAGGCTCAGCCAACAAAAAGTAATATTTAGAATATACTGGACCCCATTACAGGACGCAGGTGGCGCTGTGGGTTAAACCACAGAGCCTAGGACTTCCCAATCAGAAGGTCGGCAGTTCGAATCCCTGCGACGGGGTGAGCTCCCGTTGCTCGGTCCCTGCTCCTGCCAACCTAGCAGTTCGAAAGCACGTCAAAGTACAAGTAGATAAATAGGTACCGCTCCGGCAGGAAGGTAAACAGTGTTTCCGTGCACTGCTCTGGTTCGCCAGAAGCGGCTTAGTCATGCTGGCCACATGACCCAGAAGCTGTACACCAGCTCCCTTGGCCAATAAAGCGAGATGAGCGCCGCAACCCCAGAGTCGGTAACGACTGGACCTAATGGTCAGGGGTCCCTTTACCTTTTACCAGACCCCATTACGTTTGTTTTATAAAGGGCTATCTAAGGTATCTAACGGTTGGAGATGCAATAAGGATAATGCTTCTCTAAAACATATGTTTTTTCATTGTCCTATATTGAAAGATTTTTGGCAGAAGGTAACTGAAACCACCAACAGAACTGTATGGAACAACCTTACATCTACAGAGCAAATTATCCTATTGAATTATATGCCCAGCACATGGAGCCTTACAAAAGGACAATATGAATGGACTCTCCATGCCCTTACCAAGGGAAAAAGACTGATACTGATGAATTGGAACAATAAAAATGTGACTCCCTTCTACGATTGGATTGAAGACCTACACAAACTTGCAACATATGAACAACTTGCATATAAACGCAGACTTAAAAACAGTACAGCATTACATATTAAAAACTTCCCTGAACAGGGCTGCCTTAAGATGTCTTCTGAATGTCAGGTAATTATTTATCTCTGTACTAGGTAGCAGTGGAGCAAGGCAATAAAAAGGTTGGGGCTGCATGGATCCAACAGTGGGAGGGCCAAATTGGCTTGACCAGTGTGTCTGGACAGCCTCAGTTTCACCAACCCACTGTCCCGTCCTTGCTCTAGTCATAGGGGTAGAGAAGAAGAAGGTAGCCAAGTTACCACAAACATTAGGGTCTTTTGTGACTGGGAGGAACCTACTTCCTAAGGCAAAGCAGGAACCAGTCTGTGTGGATTGTGAGACAACTCTATCAGTTGTCCTTTTAAGGCAGAGGAGACCCAGTGGATGACCACATAACACCTAAATGAACATTGAAGAAGATGGGCGTCCTACAAATGCTTCCATCTCTTTGCTTAGAAAGCTGTAGATGATGTCAGTTTGCATTTCTTAGTGCAGAAAGTATTGATCTGATGTGCAGAGATCTTAACTCAAGAGGGTACTGGAAGCTTCTCTGTGTGAAAGAAGCAAGCAGAAGGTTCGTGATGTTTGGGTTATTCCTTCAGAGAAGCTGAGTGCAGCTGGTTTAAACCGATTCTGTTATCTTTTCTGTCAAGGTCATGCTGACTATAAAAGTAAGGCCAGAAGGAGCCTGGGTTTCACTTTCTCTTTCTATCTCTTTTCCTTCTGGTGTGGTGTTCTGTACATAGTTTGCTTAGTGTTAAGGTTTAGACTTGTTATAAGTTATTGTAATTTAAGTTAAGTCTGCTGCAACTGGATTTCTTATGGACTGTGCCAATCCTGAATATATTGGATTTGTGACCATTATGCTCATTTGCCTTCAGGAGCAGTAAAGCTCTGCTGGATGAAATACAATTGCCTCTGGTCTATTTTTTGGGAATCCTGCAACGTGTTCAAGTTTTTACTCTACTAACTATACATTGGAATCTGCTCTGGATCAATACTGAGTAGAATTCCATGACAGATGAAGGGATCTCGTAGGACTTTTCCAGAACACAACTAGAACATATCTAGGGACGCGGGTGGCACTGTGGTCTAAACCACATAGCCTAGGGCTTGCCGATCAGAAGGTCGGCGGTTCGAATCCCTGCGACGGGGTGAGCTCCCGTTGCTCGGTCCCTGCTCCTGCCAACCTAGCAGTTCGAAAGCACGTCAAAGTACAAGTAGATAAATAGGTACCGCTCCGGCAGGAAGGTAAACAGTGTTTCCGTGCACTGCTCTGGTTCGCCAGAAGCGGCTTAGTCATGCTGGCCACATGACCCAGAAGCTGTACACCAGCTCCCTTGGCCAATAAAGCGAGATGAGCGCCGCAACCCCAGAGTCGGTAACGACTGGACCTAATGGTCAGGGGTCCCTTTACCTTTTACCAGACCCCATTACGTTTGTTTTATAAAGGGCTATCTAAGGTATCTAACGGTTGGAGATGCAATAAGGATAATGCTTCTCTAAAACATATGTTTTTTCATTGTCCTATATTGAAAGATTTTGGCAGAAGGTAACTGAAACCACCAACAGAACTGTATGGAACAACCTTACATCTACAGAGCAAATTATCCTATTGAATTATATGCCCAGCACATGGAGCCTTACAAAAGGACAATATGAATGGACTCTCCATGCCCTTACCAAGGGAAAAAGACTGATACTGATGAATTGGAACAATAAAAATGTGACTCCCTTCTACGATTGGATTGAAGACCTACACAAACTTGCAACATATGAACAACTTGCATATAAACGCAGACTTGCCATGGACAAATCCAATGGCATTTGGCATCCATTCTACAAATACTGTAATAGGTTAGGATCTGGTGAAGTACAACAGGTAAAGGTAAAAGGACCCCTGACCATTAGGTCCAGTCATGACCGACTCTGAGGTTGCGGCGCTCATCTCGCTTTACTGGCCGAGGGAGCCGGCATACAGCTTCCAGGTCATGTGGCCAGCATGACTAAGCCGCTTCTGGCGAAACAGAGCAGCGCACGAGAACACCGTTTACCTTCCCGCCGGAGCGGTACCTATTTATCTAGTTGCACTTTGACGTGCTTTTGAACTGCTAGGTTGACAGGAGCAGGGACCGAGCAATGGGAGCTCACCCCGTCGCGGGGATTCAAACCCCCAACCTTCTGATTGGCAAGTCCTAGGCTCTGTAGTTTAACCCACAGCGCCATGAAGTACAATAACAACCTTTTAAATATGCAGTTTTGGACTTTCCCCCCTGTCCTCTTTGTTTTCTCTTCACCATGTCTGGTGCACATATAGTTATGTCCTTTTTGAATTTTCAATAAAGATGCTGGGGTTTTTTAAAGAAAGAAAGAATGAAGACTCACCTGGGAGTGATAGTCAGCAAGCACCCACGGAAACACTGGGTACTGCATGAGGTCACTGTAGGTGCGCCCGGCCAGAGTGTTCAGGTACATGAGGTAGTCAAAGTTGCTGATCTCTCTCCTCTGCCACGACACAGAAGCAAGGATTACTGACCCGTAGAATATCTCCAGTAACAGTTACGTCCTCTCAGAGAAGGAAGGTATCATTTGCTAACACGAATGGGTTCTGGTTCTGGATATGGCTCCTTCTTGGAAAGAGGTTCTACCTCACAGACCTCACACGCTACGTTTCCTCAACCTCTCACCTTGCCAGGAGGGTCTACTGGCCCCACTCTCTGTGATTCAGTGATCTGCTGCCTCTGCTTAGTGAGGTTCCATTGAACTATGGTAGCTCACAGCCAGTGACAGACCTAGTCACCTCCGTCAATTTGCCTAATCATTAAAGAAAAACCCCACACAACCATTTAAGTTAGTGGCCGTCGGAATACTTCCTAGAAGTGAATTCAATAAATCAATTCCACATGGTATGAAGAAGCTTCTTTTGTCCACCCTCAGCCTACCAAGGAAGTCAGGAACAGTCAAAATGTATATGGCAGGCACAGGCAAACTCAGCCTTCCAGATGTTTTGGGACTACAACTCCCATCATCCCTAGCTAACAAGACCAGCGGTCAGGGATGATGGGAGTTGTAGTCCCAAAACATCTGGAGGGCTGAATTTGCCTATGCCTGGTATATGGTGATCATTATTTACACGAATATGCATTGTGAAGGAAGTTACTCATAACTGATTGTCCGTTTCACACATAGTAGTCTGTGCATGTTTCTTTTAGAGTGGCTTATAGGTTGCTTAGGGATGCAGGTGGTGCTGAGATTTTTTTTTTAAAGGAAATAATTTTATAAGTTGTGTGTCTTTGTTTCTCAACCTGTATTGTGTTATTTTATGCACTGTGACTTGCTGCTCGTTGGTTTCAAAGTTAGTTTGAAACCAGGGATTTCCATTTCTTTACCTGCCACTTCAAGAGCATCGTCTTCTCCCTTCCAGCGCTTCTCCTGCAAAAAAAGGAAGAGGAAAAAGATCATGCTGAGAATTTCCGCTGTGACAAAGGAGTAGTGGCAAAGGCCAGTACAGTGGAACCTTGGTTCCCCAATGGCTTAGTTGCTGAACAAATCGGCTCCCGGATGCCGCAAACTCGGAAGTGAGTGCTCCGGTTTGCGAATGTTTTTTGGAAGCCGAACGTCCAACGCAGCTTCTGATTGAGTGTAAGAAGCTCCTGCAGCCAATCGGAACCCGCGCCTTGGTTTTCGAACTGTTCCGGGAGTCGAACGGACTCCCGGAACGGATTAAGTTTGAGAACCAAGGTACCACTGTATCAGCTAGTTGTGCTTACTTATTTTTAAATTTAAACCCCACTTTTCATTCATTGTGGCAGCGTTTGCACGTTGGAACTCCCTGCCTATTGAGATCCAGCAAGAGCCTCCACTTGTACTCTTTTCAGTGCTTGCTAAAAACATTCTTGTTTAGAATGCCTATCTGTCTTAGAATGCTTAGATAGATTGAGGTAATTTTAATCTGTTATTAAAGTTTCAACTTTAGTATGCTTTTGTATGTGAACTTTGCTTGATTCTGTTGTCTTATCTTTTTGTAAACCACATCGAGACTTTTAAAAATCAAGTATAATTTTTATGATTTTTTTTTTTTAAATTGTTGCATAGCAATAGTTTGGACACGACTGAGACCACTAATGTTCCCCCCCCCCAAAAAAAAAACACAGGTGAAATGGGACAACCCAACCCCTGTATTGGAATAGTCACCATTGCTGGTGAGCAGGGCCAGCCCAAAGCATGTTGCCGCCAGAGGCAAAGGACAAGATTATGGTCCCCATTCCATGTGCATACGCTGAGCAGGTTAATGTAGAAAGTGGAAGACAGGTTATTCAGCACACAGAACACTGTGTTCCAACAAAGAGGTATGCGCCCATTTCACAGCTTCTACCACCCAAGGTAGGACCAGCCCTGTGGGTGAGAGAGCATTTTCTTCTCCCGCCTGAACATTTTTTTCCAGGAGGTAGAGAGCGCAAAAGTAGAAAGCAGAGGTGAAACCTGACGGTCACCAGATGAGCACTTTGCTTTATTGATATTAATTAATGCATGGAGAAATGTTGGAGAGTATGCCTTAATCCACATTGGTGGTGTTTTTTTTAAAAAAAATGGGTACAGTAGGATGCCCCTAGTTTCATCAGAGAAATGCTGTAGGGTATGGAATTATATGACCCCCCAAGGCAAGGAGATAAGTAAGTATACAACCTTTAGAAGACATCTGAAGGCAGCCATGTATAGGGAAGCCTTTTAATATTTTATTATGTTTCATATTTGTTGGAAGCCACCCAGAGTGGCTGGGGCAACCCAGTCAGCTGGGCCAGGAATAAAGAATAAAGTAATTATTACAGAATAAAGGTAAAGGGACCCCTGACAGTTAAGTCCAGTCGTGACCGACTCTGGGGTTGTGGCGCTCATCTCGCTTTATTGGCCGAGGGAGCCGGCATACAGCTTCCAGGTCATGTGGCCAGCATGTCTAAGCCGCTTCTGGCAAACCAGAGCAGCGCACAGAAACACTGTTTACCTTCCCGCCGGAGTGGTACCTATTTATCTACTTGCACTTCGAGGTGCTTTCAAACTGCTAGGTTGGCAGGACCAGGGACCGAGCAATGGGAGCTTACCCCGTTGCGGGGATTCGAACTGCTGATCTTCTGATCGGCAAGTCCTAGGCTCTGTGGTTTAACCCACAGTGCCACCCGCATTCCCAATTATGGAATAGGACATCCCTAATTTCACTGGCGAAATGTTGGAGGGTCTGTTGCTTCACCCTGCTACGTCGCCAGGGTTAGACACATGGGTGCTGTGAGGCCTCTTGCGTATCAGCCTGATCTGTCCTTCAGCCACAGAATTCTACCAGAGAAGGAGATCAGCCAGAGAGCCTCACAACCCTGTTCTGAGTCATGGGCTGAGTGGCTTCCGCTGGTTGGAGCTGCCCGTTTCACTGGGAGGTGCAGCCAGGGGCGCTGCCTTTGACCTGGCATGTTGCAAACCAGGCAGGCATATGCTAATGGTCTCCAAGGGCTTGGAATTTCCTGTTGCTTAGGAACCAAAAGTTTCACAGGCGGCATCACAAGAGCTGACTAGAATATCACAGGAACAGGGTAAGTCAACTTCTCCCAAAGCAGATCCTACCTTATTTTAGAGTTTAGATTTTAGAGCTTGTAATCCTGTAGAAATCTGAAAGGGATAAACATTTCCCTTGCAGTCCAGGTTTTTTCTTTTTCTAACTTCCAAACAGTAGCAGATAAGGACCCATTGTTTGGAGGAGATTAGTGGGAGAAGTTTGCTAACAGAAAAAGCTTGTGTTCGGTGCCAGATCCACTCGGCGGGCTTGCTTAGTTTCCCAAGGTGCCAGCAGCTCATGCACTTTTCTGTTTATATACAGCAGCTTAGCAACACCGTCAAGCTGCTCAGATGAAGTCTCTTCATCAACTCTCTACACAGAATATCTTGTGTGGGTTTGATACCAGGAACATTTCTACCTTTTTCTTTTTAAAGGCTGTATAAGAGGAACTCCGCCCCCCCTGCACTCCTCCTAGATGAAACTAAAGAGATGAATTCAATTGCTTTGCTCTCCGATAGCAAGCTGCTGAGAGCCAAAGAGAACCTGCACATCACAGCCTTTGTGAAATGGAGGTTCTCTTTAGTGTAATGCAGCCTGCCTGCAGAAAGCAAAGCAGTTTGAATCCATCTCTTTAGTTTTATGTAGGAGGAGGGCTGAAAAAGCCGTCAAATCGGGATATACGATTTGTATGTTTCCTAACAGAGGGACTTGATATGTGTCTCTGTCATTCAAGGGTCAAACTATATGTGCGGCATGGAAAGTTTCGTTTGAAATGCTCCTCTGGTTGGTTTAGCCACAGGGTGGAGAGGATGTGTTCATCTGTATCTTGTCACGCAGGGATGGGTGGGTTAACCCTTTCCTTGGGACAACGCTGTCCCCAAAATAACAGAATGAGCGAGGAATCTGGCCCCCCAAACTTTGGGAGAAAATGGGAGCTGAGCACCCAATATCACTGTGTCTTGGAGAGGCGAAAGACTCTGGTTCTTACATTAGAATGCACACAAATGGCGCATTCTCAGATTCTGTCTGCACGAGTCATGCAAGTTGCAAATAACAGTGAGAGCTGGCTTTGCAGTAGAAAAACAACATGGCTGGCCTCACAGAAAAGGGCCCTTGTTTTTCAACGATGTGCAGACTTTCTCCTTCAGATTAAACAGAATATGCGAGAGCGGCCACGGAGAGCATTCATTTGGGCCCAAGGAATTCAGCGGGGAATGTGGCGTGAGGGGGAAAGGGGGCGCGTGGATATGCAATGGGGTGGGAAGAATGATTAGGCATGTGAGCAAAGCCATTTATTATGCATTTAGCGGGGATGTCAAAGCTTGCTGCCTGACTTGCAATACTGCAAGGTCTCAGTTCATCAGCCCCAATGCGATAAGGTTAGTAGCAGAAGCTGTTGTCTATCTGGGAGTTCCCAGTTCACATCTCAGCTCAGCCACAAACCTGATGACTCCAGGTGAGGGCAGTAGGTGATGGCAGCGTTTCTGCCACCTTACCAGGACGGTATAGAAGCAGAGGCAAGGTTAGGTGTGTGTGGACACACTGCAAGAGACAACCTGGTCTCACAGCGATGCGTCTGCGCCATGCAGCCCCAATTCTACCACCAGCTTGTCACACCCCAACACTGTACTCATAAACACAAGCAACGCCACCTGCCTGTCTGATGCAGAATACGGAGAAGTTCTGCTTTTACCGTATTTTTCACTCCATAAGACACACCTGACCATAAGACGCACCTAGTTTTTAGAGGAGGAAAACAAGAAAAAACTATTCTGAATGAAACAGTGGATGTATGATGTTTGTGGTTCATGCTGTGGCCACAGACATGTGATTTGATGGTGAGTTTGGGGTTGTTGTTGTTTAGTCGTTTAGTCGGGTCCGACTCTTCGTGACCCCATGGACCAGAGCACGCCAGGCACTTCTGTCTTCCACTGCCTCCTGCAGTTTGGTCAGACTCATGCTGGTAGCTTGGCGAACACTATCCAACCATCTCGTCCTCTGTCGTCCCCTTCTCCTTGTGCCCTCCATCTTTCCCAACATCAGGGTCTTTTCCAGGGAGTCTTCTCTTCTCACGAGGTGGCCAAAATATTGGAGCCTTAGCTTCACGATCTGTCCTTCCAGTGAGCACTCAGGGCTGATTTCCTTAAGAATGGAGAGGTTTGATCTTCTTGCAGTCCATGGGACTCTCAAGAGTCTCCTCCAGCACCATAATTCAAAAGCATCAATTCTTCGGCAATCAGCCTTCTTTATGGGTATGAGTTTGGGGTAGCCCAATGCAAAAATCCTGAGAATCCATGTGGATCCATGCTTTGTAATCACGTTTTTGCGCCAATGCGGCCCCACACAACAGTGGGTGCGTGATTTTTTTGGTGCAGGCTGTATCCATAGACATGCTAAGTGATTTGATGGTGAATTTGGGGCGACCCAATGTAAAAATCCTGAGGATCCATGGGCTTTTACCTCCCCTCTCCCAGGCAGCCTCCCCTAGCGTCCCTTATCTCTCTCCCAATCCCACCGATCAGCTGCTTCCTTTCAACACTCCCTTCCCTCTTGTTTGCCTTAGTGTCTTTTCCTTAGCTGGAGCAGTTTTTTGCTCCTCCTTTTCTTCTAATTTCTCTCCTTATTGCTTTAGTCTTCCTGTCTCCTCCCCTTGCAAGTTTGCTGCCTTTACCTCCCCCCCCCCGGCAGCCTCCTTTATTGCTAGCATCCCTTATCTCTCTTCCGATCACTTGCGATCAGCAGCTTTATTTCAACACCCACTTCCCTCTTTCCAAAAAAACAACAACAAAAAAAAACATGACCTGCTTTTAGCCCCTGGGCAATTCGGCTCCATGGACCACACATTCGCTCCATAAGACGCACAGACATTTCCCCTTACTTTTTAGAAAGA